AAGAAATTTCAAGTTGATAGGATTACTAGAAGTATTTTTTTTTTAATTGAAGTCGAAAAAAGTCTGGCCAGACCACGCCGACCGACGGAGGGTTAAGTCTCTATGTATCATATTGTTGATAAACCATAGAGCGTAAATTTAAAACGGAGATAGAATTTATAAAATTGAAAGGTGCATTAAATCTAGATAATAGTGTAGATCTTTGAAAATATTTTGAATAAAATTAATTACATATTAATTAAAATATCTCCATTCGTTACTCTAACGCCAGTGATAATAAAGTTTAGTTATGAAAATTTGGCCATATTTATAAATAAAATCATTAAAACAAAAATAAGTCACATTTTGAAATTAAAATTTACAATCATCATTGCGATAAAGTTGACCATACCAAACTCAATTATTATTTAGCCAGTCAGGTCGAAAGCATTCTCGTCAATTCATGATTGTATGTAAATTTCATATAGATTGTAGTGAAAAATGTACATTTTGAAAAGAAAGTCCATGAAAAAACTTAGCTCTAGTAGTAACAATTATAAAGTAGTCTTATCCTACGAAATTGGTCGTACACAAAACAACTTTGACGACAAATATCCATGCAGAAAAATGTAGATAACCGTTAACTATTTTCACTTTGGCGAAAGCCTATTACATATACCAAGCGACAGTTATATGATTTAGGCGAAACGCCAAAATACTGGTTTGCAGTAATGATTTAGAAAGACAAATTTCATGTATTGCGGAAAAAATAAGATACAAACATATATCAACAATCTAATTTATTATCGAAGCTTAAATAACTAATTTTATTTATTCATTCGAATACTCTCCCTTCCATCAGAATCAAAATCGATCGTGAAAAAATGAAAAAATATATTTACAAGTTGTAATAAAAATTTACATATTGCATAATTTATAGATATAGCACTCATACGGCTATTATATATATATATATATATCTATATATATATATATATTATTGCTATCTAAATTTCAGAAATTCTGAAAATAATTAAAAATTTGCTTCTGTTTTCTCTACATATATTCAATCTTCGGGGACCGCTTTTATTACATTGATTATTGTATACAGATATATGACTTCTACATAGCATTAATTTAGATACATCATACAATACGTTAAAGTAAATAAATTTAATTAAGAAATTTATATCTATAAATATTATACGACAGGATATAGTCATGATTAAAAATTATTAGTAGGCCGCCGGAACCATCTCTGATAAGCCAGTGTAAATACTAAATACCATAAGTAATTTTGTTTGTGTAAAGAAGATAACTCATTCTGAAATTAATAATCTGAATGTAATTTTACCTTTAAAGCCGTATTTTTGCAGGTAGAGATAAAATTCCTCAAAGAGAAAAGGAAATAGCATAAAATTTGGTATCGATATGTTTGCATACCTATCGGCGTATCTTTAAATTTTATACAGAAATTACGGCGAAACTAATTCAAAACGTGCCATAAACATAAATTTACAGATACTAGATAAAGCCGATAGAGTAAAAGTAATAGCAACATAATTCAAAATTTTCAAATTAGCTTATTTATGCATATATACTCTTCTATACTATAGCAGAAGCAATAAGAAAAGCACTGGGAAAATTCTACTCATTGTTGTTCATTTATTATAATTAACTTCTCGTAGGGTAAGTTATAGTAATCGTCCAAGTTTTCAGAGGTTTTTGGACATTTTGGCATACCTAAGAAAAAATTGATGTATGTGTGTTTGTATGTATATGTATGGATAGATACAATATTTCGTCCACCTTTTCAAAAGCACGCATCAACCGACTTGAATTAATTAAAAACCAGTCGATTGCTGATAATAAGAAGATGTGCTAAGTAGTTTTTTGGCAAAAGGGCGCAAAAAATGATAATTAAGTTTTTGAGAGAACCGAGCGTGTTACCAAAGCAATCGTACTGCGTGGCTGTTTTAGAAAAGAAATATCGAAGCGCGTAAGCGCCGCGTCGACGGGTAAACATTGGTATGGTATGAAACCCATAGAAATGTTAACAATTTGATGTGCATATGTCTAACAACATTTTTGACCACCAACTAGCGTATTTTATTACTTTTTTATTAGATCGCCGAACGAAATCATTCTTCATTTTGTTAATACAAGTAAAAATTTTTGAATTATTGAAATCCAATGCTCCGTTCTCTCAAAAACTGAATTACCACTTTCGGCACTTTTTGCCCGGTATCTTCGAAACGGATAGATTTGCCTTTGGCAAAAAACTAATCAGCACGTCTCCTCATCAATAGGAA